TATTTAATAATTAATTAATAAAAATATTTTTAATTAATAAATAAATACCTGAATTTTGTATTTTGAAACTTGACACCTGAAAATTGAATTGTGTCAAAGTTAACACATGACTTCTGAATTTTTCCCCCTAATAAAATGACTTGTTTAATGTCATTTTTCTGGATTGGGTTATTTTGGGCCCACCACAAAAAAGCCTGAAGTAGGGTGTAGGCCCATTACTTCCGACAGCTACCCTTTGCCCTTTTCAATTCACGAACCACCAGAGAATATTCCTACAAAGTTGCTCCCTGTACGTGCCAGGGGGACAAGTGTCCCCCTATGTTAGGGGGGAGAAAAATTTTACGTGCCGCGTAACTCTTCTTTCTTTAGGGTTGATTCATAATTCCGGTTTCTTTTTAGTAGTTTATTAGTACAATTTTTTTTTATTGCAAAACTGAAGAGTTCGTTTGACAATCATTATTGTAAAATTATAACGTTTTAAATAATGATTTTTAAGTAAATACATGATTAAAAAGTTAAAAAATAATAATTTTGATATACATGAAATATTTTATTGTATGGATGTATGATTAAAAATGATCATGTCTGATAGTCAAACAAGTACTAAATTTAACCCCTATTTGGTAGAAGTTAAAATCCAAATTTAATCAAAATCAAAATCAATAACTAATTTTAACCACACATTTTATGGGATCCACAACTTTTTAATTATATATTTAATCAACTTTTATTAAAATCTACTAAAAACCTAATTTTAATCCTCGAACTTACTATTGTGTATTAATATGTTTAACACGTGGTCTTATAAAGATCCTAAAATTTAATATACACTTTCAAACATACTTTGATATAGCAAAGGCGTGCTTGACTTGACTATTATACGATTGACTTGCTTCAACTAATGAAAGGTGCAAAAGAGGGTAAATAAGTTCGCATATGTACCATTTTCTGCTACTATCTAGAGATTACACAATTTCCACTAATTAGTCGTCTTCATCAAGTTCCGTAAAATCTTCAATGACATCATGTCTAGTATTTTCTTTGTTCATGGAGCGCATCTCATCAATTTCTATCAGTAGCAGTGGATCACACACCACTCTATCCGGCATCAGCATTTTAGGGCACCCTGCAACAAGAAATTAAAAGATAGCTAGGACAGAAATTCAACATCCCATTTCCAGTAGAGAAAGTTGCATAATTGCTCTCCTGCCCATTTCCAGTAAAGTTCGTTGCGCAATTGCTCTCCAAACCATTTATTGAGTAGAAAGTTAGTCTCCAACCTTTAAAACGAACAATTTAGTCCTCGAGCTTTCATTATAGTTGCACAATCAATAGCGAATTACAAATACCGTCCAAATCTTTGTTTAGTCATCATACATCCCCCACAAATGCAAGTTTATGAAGCTAGGTTTTGCTTGATTTAGGTTAGTGCCAAGAAATTTGAAGTGACATGTTTCCACAAGAGCCATGACACTTTTAGGAAGATTTGTATAGTTTCCACCATTGGGGACTGATTATGCAACTTTCAGTGGAATATTGGGGACAAACTTGCTATTGGAACAATAAGTTGGGAACAATGGTGCAATTATTCCTTTTCGGTACTTCTCGGATTTCAAAGCTGTAATTTCAGAAAGAGAAATGCATACCTGCTACAGGACATTGGCTGCGTGAATTCTTGGACCTTATGTATTGCATTATAACCTTCTTCTCGTAAATATGCTTGCAGTCCATGCTGCGTCATTAAAAAGAAGAAACGCAAAACTATCACAAATGCCTCCACTCTTCAGTCTATGTCAACTAAGCTTATTTACTTGCTAGATAATAGTTATTATTAACATGATGCTCCTTAGAGCTTCATTATAACGAAGAATAAAACAAAGGCAAGAGTAAGTATCACTTTTCATTGCTTAATCGTGTCAAAAACTACAGGGATTTAAGAAAGAGGGAAATGAATCTCTAGAAATCAGTAGAATGCCCTTTTTTTACAACAAATGACATGGAGAATATAGAAGCAGCAAAAAACACTTTGAACTTGTTATAACGGATTTCTTTCTTTTCCCCTTTCTTATGCCTTCCCTCAACACTTCAGAAAAGTAATAGCAAAAGAAAGTTTCCAGATCAAATTTAGCATTAACTCTAGGCTTTCCTTTCCATCATGCATAGTGATACCATAGCAGAATAAGGAAGATGAAACCCTGGTGTTTTAATTTTACTATTTTAGGGTAAGTCACTTCCTACTATCAAGTAGGTTTTTAACTTTTACCTCATTCAGCAACTTGCCTTACTGAGTTAGCCAACATGCTAATGAAATTACCCATATCGAATAATAACAAATAGATTATGTTGGATTCTCTTTGTGCTTAATTGAATAGTAGCAGATGTTATAAATTTATCTCCATCGATAGGCAATATAAACTAATCAACTTTGTCAACCTAGAAAGAATCGAATATTTTTCTCGATAAATTTGACCTCATGAGCTACAAATAAAATGTAATTCCAGAGGAAAGAATCCAGACACAAAGATCTGATTATGATTAAATCCAAATTAGAATTAGCTTAATGTGTTCCAAAAAGATGAAGTAATAATGAGTTGCAACAAGTATTTGGAAACAAACAAAGATACTCCCTTGTCTGAGTAACTGCATCAATTCATTTCATTGTAGAGCACCGCGTTATACATCAGGTAATATATCCAGTCCAATTAACTTTGGTTTCGGAACATGTTATGTCAAATAAGCAATCCGTCAATGTCCCTAGACAAGAAAACATTTCCACTACAAAAAAATAATGAACAGATCAAATATTTAGCCCATGTGTGTCTTCCATTAAATCAAAACTTTTTTTTTCTCTAACTCATTTTCAACCACATTCACACAATAAAATAGTTCACATGTAAAGCCAAAACCTTTTCCTATTTATTAACCACACATTCTCCAAAAAACAACTATTCTAAACCTCATTTTCTCCAAAAAAATCATTTTAATGGAAGACAAACAGGGACTTAATTTGTGAATGAAACTTTTTTCAGAAAGTGTTCCTCTATGTGACTATGCCAAAAAGGGGTGTATCTATGGCATGTTTCATTTGCCAACTTTCATCATGTTCCCCATCAATTTGTCTGGCATATAGAAGGGCTTTATTTTCTCATTTACTGTCCTCAAAACACTGTAACAGTCACCAAGCATCAGCATAAAACATTGGACAAAATAATTTATTGTTAATCTGAAGCTAATAGAACTTCCACTGCCACAAACAGTGTGCCATGGTTTGATACAAAATGTGCAAGCAAGCATTATATAAGAGTATATTGATAGTTCACAAATTGCTTATGCCATTCTGTCGTAACTCTTCAGTATGAAAGAAGCCAGGTGTTTAAACTAAGTTACAGAAATACCTTCTAACCGGATCTGCAAGCTCAATCACAGGCTTTCCACTCAATGGGCAAGTAACATTCAAAAGATTGCACTGTGTGCTGGTCATTACTATGTCCTCCTGCTCTTCACCTGGCATAGGCTCTCCTGGATGATGAACGTTCTGTATGAAAACAAGGATAAACATGCATAATTAACAGTAAATTCTAATACTGAATCATAGACTCTGTTTGACCCACATTAAATTTTTCATTCTCATTTTTCTACTCATTTTCAACCACACATTCTTCAATAAAATAATATTATTTATCACATCAATAATTTTTTCTTCTTTTTCAACCACATATTCTCCATCAATCTACTATTCCAAAATACATTCTTCCAAAATAATGTGGCTCAAACACACCCATATTATAGAAATGGTTCAAAGAAAATAATCATGAGGATCATCTGATTAAAAAATCCTTTTTTTCCCACGGAAAGAATGAGATTCTCATTGATAGGCTAAGGTACATTAGATGCAACAGTTAGCAATATCAGACAGTAGATACGCACTCTCTCTCTCTCCCCCAAAATTGACACTCACATACATTCATGTAGGTTCACTTCTTTTTGCATTCATATGGCATAATGTTCGCGCTTTGGGCAAAGAAATCGAACTAAACAAGGATCTCTGCGAGTATTCCAGAATTCCCTATCCCAAAAAGAACAAGCAGCAACTTGTAACAGTGCGAGTGTCCCTGAAGAAGAATTGAGTAGGCATCCCAAAATGGATCGGGCAACGTGTTATTGCTATTCCACATAAAATTGTGCAGCTTCACAAGATCATCCAGAAAGAAATTTTTCCAGAGGAAGAAGTAATGGTTTTGCAGGTTATTCTTATGGTGGTGACAGCCTCAAACCAAAAGTTCATAATCATTGCACAACTGTCTAGCTATCATGTACTTCTCTTGGCTTGGGCTAATATGGTTTTGACTTAAAACATCCTGAATTAACCTTCTCCGATCTTGGTTGTTCTCTTGAAATAGTAAATATCAAGAACATAAGCCTCTTAGCAGCAGTGTGCTGGATAACCTGCTATGGGTAAAAACCTCTTAGCAACAGTATGCTGGATAACCTGCTATGGGTCAATGACCGCATCCACATAACTGAGATTTTTCTTAGCAACCAATATGTTGATGCCAACTAATTACTTACCTAGAAGCTGGTCATGCAATTGTTTAAGTCATTGTGGCCCAGTAAAGGGGGGCTCTGCTAGTGAATGAAGGAAAATTGACCAAGTGATGAGAGCTTCAACAAGCTGTGGTTTCAAGAAGCTAGGAGATGAATCATTGTTTAGCAATTCTTCTATAGAATTGCAAAAAGAGCCTCATGCCACTAGTCCCACTCTTGAATTCCATGCAGTGGCAACCTACTAAGCATGGAAAGATAGTCTTTCATACAGCTGGCAAGTATGTTAATCAAGCTTGGAATCTGTACTATCCTAAGTGTTAATTGTCTAGGTATATGTAAAAGTTTCTCAGTATAAAGCATAGTGTGGATCATCAACATATATGAGGTCAATTTTTATTTTACTTTGAAAACAAAGATATCACTTCTGGTTGCTGGACAAATCTTACTAAAAGTGCAGGAGAAGAAACACGAACACAAAGATTTGTTCAACTTTTGTTTGTAGACATACCCAGATAGCTTCACGAAACTGGCGTAGCCACGGATGGTTCTGTGGGACAGATGATGAACCAGCCTTTAGTCTTCCAATCTTATCCTCAAAAAGCTTGCTGAAATCAGTTAGCTGCAGACTCAAACAGACAAAATATAACACTAGATTTGAGAGATTAAAAGCTACAAACATCAGAGATAAAGGCAAATCAAGCCTTGAGAAAGATTTTGCGTGAAGAGTTACCTCTGGCCCAGGGTGGTATTCGTCACCTAGTGATTGTATTGTCGTGGAAAGATGAGTACATTGGTCTGAGGCTTCCAACAATTGAATAACACCAGCTTCGAGCTCCTTCACCTGCATTAACAAATTAAATCTTTAACAATTTAAAAAATATAGCTTCCCAAAAGTCCTCTACTGCATCTTACAAATGAGTCAATCCAATATTTTGATTCACCATTGCCATCAACACTTCTACTTTACTTTAATGCATTACATTCAGTAGCAGGTTTATTAATTGCACATGGGTATTAGATTTCAGTAGCAGTCTTTTAGTAGTGGACGGGTGATCTTTGTATCCTTGGTCCGAAACAAGCGCAGCAGCACAAGTACTAAATCTGATATAATATTTTTCCTACATATTTATTTTTGCTAAATCTGTGAAGACCTACAACTGTCACTCATTACGGAAAACTATAAATCAGCCAAACCTTTTAAAGCATTAGATTCAGTAGTAGGTTTATAAATTGCACTCAGTTCCAAACTACACTGAGCAGCAGCACAAACACTAAATCTAAAATAATATTTTTGCAACAAATTTGTAAACTGTGAAGACCTATAACAGTCACTCATTACTGATAACAAAGCCAAACATTTTCTACACTTTGTTGGGACTATGAAATTCAAACCTCAATTCAGAATAAGCCTATATTTGGCTCGTGTTTATAAACTCATGCCACTTTTATCCATACATTTTGGTGGATCCAAAAAGTACTACCCACTTGAACACTACTCATTTCTATCTATTTATAAATTGAGTTGTTTATAAACGCTTCCTATACATGCTTTTAGTATAGACTTGATTCAAAGCAAACATTATTATTACTAGTTCCAAATCAAAAAACATTATGAGAAGTTGGCTTTGAAACATTGTCCGGAAACTTCATCAACTTGCCTCTTAAAGCCAGGGACTTAATAGAACTTTGGAAAAAGGATTCATCCCTAACCACGTTGCTACTTGAAAAGGGTTCCACAACCATGGTAGAAGAATACATCTGCAAAGCACACCTTTCTTACAGAGATTTTCCTCTTTAATTATATTAAGGATTCCTCACATATAGACACCTGGAACGGAAACCAAATGTATATTTGCAACTCTCCATTATCTGAAACGAGATTGTGTAGAAAATAAAATATCTAGGTCGTTTTTTTTTTTCCCTGGATGCTGAAAGTACTCCAGTTTATCCACAAAATTAGTATGGTCCTCATCATCACACGCCAACAAGAACATATCTATACTAGATTACTAGTACAGAAATACAATCCTCATTGTATAATTCATACAATAAACTAATCCAAACTGCTTGTAGAAATAGGGCCGTTAATGTAATATACAAAGACAGATCTACTAGAGTACAGAATAAATTACCTACTTCCGTTGCGTATGCAAATGCATAAATATGCCTAAACTAATTAGCTAGAAATAGTTTAAACATTTGAACATAAAACTAGGGTTTCCACGGTTACCATTTCAGATTCGTTCTCTCTCTCCATATCCACTGCGATTTCCTTCATCATAATCATCGATTTCCTGATTTCCTGATACAGTTCACATCCAGAAAAGAATTAAAAATTTAAAATCATATGAATATTAACTGAAATTAGTAGGGTTTAAGAAATTGAGGGATTATTCTAACCGAAATGAGGGACTGATTGTCGGAGAAAAGCGTTGAAGCCGCCGATTTGATTCTTCCATACATAGCATTGTTGCCAGGAGCAGAGGTGGATGCCATTGGGGTTTGTTTATCGGGCGTTTTGTGAATTGGACTTCTAATTGCTCCAGTATTTGGAGGGAAAGCAAGCATGTGTGCTGGTCAACAAATTAAAGTAAAGTAATTTTAAATGTTTTTTCTTTAAAAGGTTTTTGTCAAAAGGGCATGTGGGCTATAAGCTTGTGAGCCCGCTACGTCAAGGATTTGGGCCCATACAACGTGCCCAATCGTACGAATATCAAAAATAATTTGCACGTCTATCTTTTTATGAGCCGTGCTATTGGGCCCGGCTCAATGCCGGCCCAAGAACAGGGCGCTCATGTGGCGCCCCCTATTGGAAGTCAGCCCCTCCTCCAATAGGGGGCGTCACATGGGCGCCCTGTTCTTAAGCCTGGCATTAAGTTGGGCCAAGAAGATTTTCTCTATTTTTATACTTAGGAAAAATTGATAAATAAGGTGTATACTTTACACCAATTCAAAAATCAAGTTTATAGTTTAAAAATTCAATTCATTATTAAGGCCATTTTGGTACACATTATTTTTTTTATTCTCATTCTTCTACTCATTTTCAACCACACATTCTTCAATAAAATAATATTTTCCATCACATCAATAACTTTTCCTTCATTTTTAACCACACATTCTCCATCAATTTATTATTCAATAATACATTCTTTCAAAAGAATGTGT